GCACCATGGACCGTGCCGCATCCCAGAAGCGGCCAGCAGCAGGTCCGGCTCCTAGGTGGAGGCACGCAAGTGTAGGGTGACCAGATAGCAAGTGTAAAAAATCTGGGCGAGGATGGAGGTAATAGGTGCCTATATAAGAAAAAGCCCCCAAAATCAGGACTGTCCCTATAAAATTGGCACATCTGGTCACCCTACGCAAGTGGCTCCACATGGCTCTCACCCGCAGGCACCGCCCCGCAGCTCCCATTGGCCGCCGGTGCTTAGGGCCGGGGCAGCACATTGAGCCCCATGGCCCCCCTGCTTAGGAGCCGGACCTGCTGCTGGCCACTTCCAGGGCACAGCACAGTGTCAAACAGGTAGGCACTAGCCTGCCTTAGCCGGGCAGTATCACCGACAGGACTATTAATGGCCTGCTTGGCGGTGCTGACCAGAGCCGCCACAACCCAGTGCCTTACAGTCCGCGTCTCAGTATTGGGTTGCGACCCACAGTTTGAAAACCACTGGCCTAGGCAGTAGGTGTGCTGCTGCAGAAAAGGATCTGGGTGGGGTCTCAGGGATTACCGCCTGCCTATGAGTCAGCAGCAATGTGATGCAGCTGCGAGGAAAGCTAATATTCTCAGGTATATTGGCAGCAGCGTGGTAGGGACTGGGGAGGTAATTGCTTCATTTTAGGAGGGCCACCGCAGGAGTTCTGTGTCCACTTCCAGGCACCAAGCTTTAGGAAAATTGTGAACAAATTGGAGGGAGCCCGGAGGAGAGCAACAAAAGTGATAAAAGGTTAGAAAACTTGACCTAGAAGGAAAAGTTTAAAAAAAACCTGGGCATGTTTAGTCTTGAGAAAAGAAAGCGGCGGGGACTTCATAACAGTCTTCAAATAAGTTAAAGAGCTGTTCTCAAGGGTATCAAGTATCAAAGGGGTAGCCATGTTAGTCTGGATCTGTAAAAGCAGCAAAGAGTCCTGTGGCACCTGATAGACTAACAGACGTATAGGAGCATGAGCTTTCGTGGGTGAATACCCACTTCTTCGGATGCATGTCTTCCCTCCAAACCCGCAGGACTGCATCTCAGTGCCTGGGACACTTGACTCAAGCTTGTGTGGCTAGAGCTGCAGAGCAATAAATAATAGTGTAGATGTTCTGACCCTCCCCAAAGTTCAGAGCCCAGGCTCCAGCAGTTTTTAGTCCTGAAGCCCAAACCTGAGCCTCAGTCAATTGTGAGCTGTGAGACGTGGCATTGTGAGTTTTTCTTTGCAGTGTAGCCACACGCAAAGAGGATTGTTCTCCTTGTCCATTGACCATAGGACAAGATGTAATGGGCTTAATCTGCAGCAAGGGAGACTTAGGTCAGATATTAGGAAAAGCTTGCCAACTATAAGGGTAGTCAAGCTCTGGAATAGGCTTCCAAGGGGGGTTGTGGAACCCCTGTCATTGGACAAACATCTGACAAGGAAGGTCTAGGTTTACTTGGTCATGTTTCAGCACATGGGGCTGGGCTGGATGTCTTTTCAAAATCTCTTCCAGGCCTACACTTCTCTGATTCCATGATAAGTGACTTGCCTAGGGTCATACAGTGGAAGTATGTGGCAGAGCAGGGAATTGAACCTGGTTCTCCTGAATCCCAAACTAGTGCCATAAAGATGTGGGGGATTTAACACTGTGTGTGCAATGTGCCCTGGCAAAAGACACATTCAGGCTTGTTTTTAGTCTTTTTATTAACAGACCATGGAATCTATAAGAACTCAATGCCCAATTCACAAATATGGAGGCATCACAGCAATATACTCCGCTACTCCAGACACAATTATCTGGCTTACCCATCTGCATGTAAAATTATAGTTGTTGCTCTACATTTACATCAGCCATATGAAGAAGAAAGGTCAACTTTTTATTACTATGCAGGGACAGCCCTCTGCTTCCCATCTGCACCCTGTTGGGTGTATATAACCCACATTATCCCAGTATATTCCCCTTTCCCTCCTGTGAAAAATGAGGTGGTGAAGAACCCCTGGAGATGTATGGTGGTTCTTGGGCCTCCCAGGACTGTGAGTCTTCTTGTTACCCCCTGCATCCAGTGTGAGGGATTCTTGCCTGGGCCTGGCTAGGTTTCAACTCCCTAATGCTCCCAACCTTTCAGCCACTCAAGCACTCACCTCTGGGCTATGCAAGCCCTCTCTTCATCTTGCAGGTTAACAATAGGTGCACCCCGATCTCAAATCCTAGAAAAATGTCTCCATATATAATATCCAGCCCCTGATACTGGCTACTTATAGCAATCCCAGATCCTCTGCACACAAAGGTGCAGCTTACCCCAGTTTACTGGATTTACCTTAATCACCGCTCCACTGTGAACCACACAGCACTTGTGAGCACTTATAATAAAACAAAAGGTTTATTTAAGAAAGGGTAAAGATTTAACTAGAAGTGAGAGAAAGTGATGGAAACGGTTCCCATACAAAACAAAATTATAAAACACAAACATAAAATAGGGGTCCCTCCCACACCACGTTCAGTCTGCAGCTGAGCTGGCTGGTTTCACAAGAACCAGGATTCAGTTTTTCATAGGGTTACCATACATCCGGTTTTTCCCAGACATGTCCGGCTTTTTGGTAATTAAATCCCCGTCCAAGGGGGAATTGCCAAAAAGCCGAACATGTCCAGGAAAATACTGGCTGGGCACTTGCCCTCCCACGGCTGCTCTGCTCCTCCCCTGACTCTTCGGCTCTGTTTAAGAGCCGAGCGCTACGGGCTTTGGGCAGCCCCCATGCCTCCAGACCCTGCGCCGCCGGAGCAGAGCAGCTGGAGCCCGGGAGGGGAAGTGCCCGGCCGGCGGCTGGTGTCCGGAGGCACGGGGGCTGCCCGAAGCCGGTAGCGCTTGGGCAGCCCTTTTCATGTGGCTGGGAGGGGGGGGGGGGGGG